TGTGTTTGCCGACTTATTGAATGAACTTGAAATCTGTGCTGTCGACTATCCATTCCCCCCTCACCGTTAAAAGAAATGCAATGTGCCCATATATTAGGATTCATATTTGTATATCTATATAGAGTTACAGACAGACAGAGGGTTTTTTTTTTATTCTGTGGTTTTTAAGTCTCTTGTGGCTATCCCTCTTTCTCCCTTCCCCCTCTCTGTTTTTCTCTCCTCTCTGTCTTTCTCTTTCGTCCTCTGTCTCTGTTTCTCTCACTCACTACCCCTCCCTCTTTCTCTTGATCTCTCTCTCCTCTCTCTCTCTTGCTCTCCCATGCCCCCCCTCCCTCTTTTTTCTCGTTCCTCTTATGCTCTCTCTTTCTCTCTTTCCTTCCATAGCTCTCTCTCTCTGTCTCACTCCCTCGCCCCCCTCTCTGTTCCTTTTATATCCTCCTTGCTGAATGCTCTTCTCCTCTCCTCCCTCAACTCTGTCTTTTCTCCTTTATATTCAGTCTTCTTTTTTCTTTTTTTTTTTTTCAAGCTCTCCCCACACTCCTTTCTCCAGTGTTGTCTCCAAGCAGAGCTATTTCATTGCTAATATTCTGTCTTTCCATTTAGTAGCCCCCACTACAAAAAAACGGGCAGAGTAATCTTTTATTTAAGGTTTTTTTTTTTGGTTGTTGTTGTTGTTGTTGCTCTGGCCATCTCTGCATCCTGTGTGTTTGGGTAAAAAAAATAATTTTTTGAACATACAGTTGAAAAAAAGGGGGCAAGAAGATTTCTACATGTTTGTTTGTTTATTTGCTTAAAGTTGTAAGTGATTCACCTATAGTCTGTTTTAATTGAATCACGAGCCTCAAATTAAAAGTGTTAAAGTTGCTCTCCTTCCCAGCACTGAGTGAAGCAATACTGAAAATAAAAAAAGACTGCTGCTTTTTTCCTATTATTACTTTCAGTTCTCTTGTCTGTGTCCACTCTGTTCCTATTGACCTTAATGGAAGAAGCTGGAGGCGTGCAACAAGGGTGTGGCTGCTTCTTTTATACACTTTTTTTTTTTACAATATTCCATCTGCATTGATTTTGATTCGAGCCCCTTCGATTGTCGCTCATGGAAAAAAAAAAGCCTGCTGTGTTGTTTTGTTCTTAGAGCTTAATTACAGCAGCTAATCATGCCTTTAGACCTATGATTTTTATCAGCATGCCATGTAAAGGTGAGACTGATCTGAAACTGGCAATAACAGAAGGTGTGTGGGCTAGATGCCTTAGTCTGAGAGGAGAATAACATCAGTCCAATACCTCAAAGTTCAAAACACGGAGCAAGCCGATTCCTCTCTTCTCTTTTCTGACCATAAGAATAAAAATCTCACCTGAACGCCGTCGCTATAACGACCCCTATATACACAAACCTACACAGCTCCCAGTTTGCCTGACAGTGAAAAAGGGTGTTGGATTTTTATCCATCACCTAGCACAGTTGTCTCACACGCAGTCAGTGTATGCAAGCCTGTCAGTGGAGCTGGATGAAGAAATAACATGGACGATGTCGGGCTCATTAACTTACAGCAAGCAGGAGTGTGTGGACTGTGCACGAACAGAGACGCTGTAACCTGTGGCTGATGGGGTTCCTCTCGTAAAAAATGTTATTTTGCAGAATGTTTGCTCGCTTTTGCTTTTAACTCACACACACACACACACACACACACACACACACACACACACACACACACACACACACACACACACACACACACACACACACACACACACACACACACACACACACACACACACACACACACACACACACACACACACACACACACAAAAGAAAGAAAATAAGAAGAAGAAGAACGAAAAAGGGAGTTGTCATCAATGAGTCCTCTGCAGTTTTATGATTCATTGAGCTTTTCTCAGGGGTAAAACAAGACAGCTGATATCTGAATCTGCCCCCCTCTCCCTCTATCTCTCTGGCTTGTTCTCTTCCTCTTGCCTTGAAAAAAAAAAAAAAAAGTTATAACTTTGACCTATATCACAGAGAGGATGTGACACTGCACTGCATGGTTTGTCCTCCTATAGTTTTAAAGGGGAGACCAGAAAACGAGGCCGGAGGAGAGGGGCTGGGGGGGTAGTTGTTTAGGAAAGGAAGAAGAAGTCACTGGTAGAAACATGGACACCCCGTATCAGGAGTGTGTTTGTTTCGGTGCTGTTGGGGAACTGAAAGCGTGCTGGTGTCAAATGTGTGTGTGTGTCCCTGATCTCAGACATCAGACAAATGCACACGCACAAAAAAAAACCTCCCAGATGAGGGTTAGTACTCTTGAGAGCAGGGCAACAGCTTACTTCCCTCTCCTTTACTCTGCCTCATATGCACATAGAAAACCTGTTTAATCTAAGGAGTGAATGAAATTCGATGCTTATTATCCACTGTATGCTTTCTCCACTATTAGTTTTTCCATTGCCCTATGCGCAAATGTACCCAAAGCAAATGGACATGGCGGGCAAAGGTTTCGCTGTTTTTTTTGTTTTTTTTTTACGAAGACTCGGGCCCCTGGAAAGGAGCCAAGTGCATTTCTTCCCCAAAACTTTTGTTGTCTGTGTCTTTTTCGTTTTCCCCATAGGCTAGTTCTGTGTTGTTTTATGTACGTGTCCCTTGTTGTTTCTTCCATGTGGTTTCTTTGTCTTTCAGCCTCTTATCTCTTTGTTTCTTCCCTTGCTCTCCTTCTATTTTCTCTCTCCCATTCTCTCTCTCCCTCGACTTCCTGCTATCTCTCCCCCTCACTCACACCCTCACTCAATCTCTTTCTCTTTCTCTACCCCCCTCCCCTCCCTCCCTCACGCTCACTCTCATTCCCTATCTCTCCCTCCTCCTCCTCCTCCTCCTCCACCCCCCCCCGCTCCCCTTTCTCTGTATCTTTCTCATTCTCGCAGCACTCCCAGCCGCTGATGATTGATCAAGGTTTTCAAGGTTTGCCCTTTCCTGTTATTTAGTAGGAAATGTTTATGCACAGTCCTCAGCCTTACAGTCACAATTGGCATGTGTCCACTGAGTGTGAGTCGCTCTCGCCTGCATCTTCACACACACACACACACACAAGTCTCAGATGTACTTTTAGACATGTATGTTAAAAAACAAACCAGTTTAAAGGTGAGGTCGTCTCTGATATATTAGATTACCTGTCTAATTATCAAGGACCAATCTTCAGTGCCGACGACCTAAACACACAACCTGTGCTGAGCCCCGCAGGTACTCTGCCGCACTGTTTCTCAACACAGCCTGAAAAGAAAATCTGGAAGTTCAATAGTTAATGTCTTCCCTTGCTGTTTTTCCTTTTCTTCACTCTCTCCGTCTCTCTATCTCCTTTCCTCTCTTCATTCCCTTTGCTCTCACCCCCCCCCTCCCACCACCACCACCACCACCACCACCACAAATCTCCCTCCACCTCCTCTCCTTCATTCTACGCCCCCCCCTTTCCTTTTCTCTTTTCTCTTGCTGATGGACTCTTCTTTTTTTTATTTTCACACTCCACCATCCCCCCTTTTTTTTTTCTTCTCTCTTTTTCTTCTCTCTCCTTCTTTCCTTTACCACCACCACCTCCTCCCTCCCTCCCTCCCCCCACGCTCTTCTCTTTCACTGCGTTTTCTTTCAAACCTCCTTCTATCTCTCTTCCCATCCCCGTGCCCCCCTCCTCCTCCTCCTCCTCCACTCCCCCCTCTTTCTTTTCTCTCTCTTTCATTCTTTCTTTTTCTTTTGCCACATCCTTTCTTATGCCTGCTTCCCCCTCCTCCCCTCCCCTCCCGTCTCTCCTTTCCCTTCTTCCTCCTTTTTTTTTGCTGCATTCTCTTCTTCCCTCCCCCCACCCCCGCTCTCTTTCCTCTTTCCCTTTTTCTTTCTGTCTCTCTCACCCCCCCTCCTCCCTGCCCCCCTCCTCATCATCCTCCTCCTCTTCACCCCCTCCCTATACTTCTTTCTTCCTTATTCTTTCTCCCCCACGTCTGTCTCTCTCTCTCTCTCTCTCCCTCCCTCCCTCTCTCTCTCCTAACTGCTTTTCTCTCCTTTCTTTCTCCTTCTCTTTTCTTTTGTCACTCATTTTTTTTTTCTCGTGAATTTCTCAGACAGTATACTTCAGGCTGTCTCAATAGTTAATTAGTTTGAATCAAGAAATAATAGCAGCAAACTACTCAGTCTCTGGAAAGTTAAAATTTTACCATTTGTCAGACATTATCATTCTGATGTTTTGCTAGTGACAGACAAACCTCCACCCCTAGTGTCTCTGAGTGTTTGTGCATGTTGTGAAAGTATACATATGCCTGAGTGTGCATGCATACATACACATGTACATATACACATATACATACACACATGTATACATATACAAATATATGTGCATACATACATATAGATATATAGATATACACATATATATGAATGCACATTTATAGATATACCATATCTGTAAATGTGTTTGTGTGCGTAAATTTACAATACATTCACATATATCTGCCACACAGACAGAGAAAAACTACGGATGAGATTTTTTATAATTGTTTGTGCATTTGAGCACACGCTCATAAAAAAAAGGAAATGCAAAGTATAAAGTGTGATCAAGAAACGATAGAGCTTGTTTCTCTCTGTGCCTTAAAGAGAAATGTGTGTTGAAGGGTCATGCTGAATTGTATGTAGTGAGAAAGGGAGATAAGATGTGTGTGTGTGTGTGTGTTTTTGTGTGTGTGTGTGTGTGTGTGTGTGTGTTTGTAAGAGAAAAGAGGAGAGAAAGAGAAGTGAGATGGGAAGGAGGAGAGGGTGGGAGGAAGAGAAAGAAATGGGGTGATGCTGTGTGTGTGTGTGTGTGTGTGTGTGTGTGTGTGTGTGTGTGTGTGTGTGTGTGTGTGTGTGTGTGTGTGTGTGTGTGTGTGTGTGTGTGTATGGGGGGGTGCTGGTGGAGAGGGAGGCGGGGAGGGGAGGGGGGGGGGGGGCAGGCACAGTCAGTTCTGATAACAGCAACAGTAGGAGGAGGATGAGCCGTGGACCGCCCCACTCTCCCACAGATATAAATAGGAGGTGGATTTTTTTTACTCCACTCATTTCTCCTGAAGGATGAGATCCCTGAAACACCTCAAACATCACTCCAGGAACAATGTGGTGAGTTTGTAGACCGAAAGATGGAGAACGATTGTCTGCTGCTAAGAAACCATTGGGGAGGTGATTGTGGTTACTTGTTTGCAGTTTGTTAGTGAGCTGTTTACACTCTTGTTTGTGTGAAGGGGGGGGGGGGGGAGCATGATTACTTTTCACATTCATATGAGTGCTGCAGTGGAGGGGGGACGTCTTTTCAGAAAAAGATAAGAGTTGTGTTTCTATCTTTGCTGCACTTTTTTGTTTTGGCTTGTGCTCTTAATTGATTGTCCTTTAGGTGTCTTTCAGATGCAACTTTGTGTGTGAAAGTACGGACTCTTTACCTTCTCTGTCTCCTTGTCATTTGTCTTTTTTTTCCTCTTTCATTTTGTCAGCCTTTCATTTTGCTGTGCTTTTTTCTTCTCTCTCCAGCTCCCCCCTCCCTCCCTCCCTCCTTCCCCTCTTTCACTCACTCACTCTGTCTTTCTGTCTCTCTTCAACCCCCCCCACACACACACACAGACACACACACACCCTCCCTCTCCTTTTCCTTTCTCTCTTCCCTCCTCTCACATGCTCACTCAATCTCTCCTTCCCCTTTCCTCCCCTCCCTCCCCTCCCCTCTTTCTTTATCTTTCAGCCCCTCCATCTCATTTCTGTCTCCGTCTCCCTCCCTCCCTCCACTCCTCCCCCGCCCACAGCTCTTTCTCCTTCTCTCCATACCTCCCTCCCTCCCTCTCTTTTCTCTCACTTGCACGCACACACACACACACACACACACACACACACACACACACTTTCAAATACACACCCAGTCTCTTTCCTTTTCTTTCTCACAAACACACAGTCTGTCTCTGTCTGACTACTTTAAAAGCAGTAATTATAAATGACGTGGTTATCAGGGCATCCAGGTCTACTCCCCTCTCCCTACACACTCACAAAAACACACACACACACCACACACCTTTATTCTTGCTCTATCTCCTCTTCCATTTTCTCCATCCATTCTTTTCTTTTCTTTCAGTATTGTGTCAGGAGAGGAAGCAGCCCTTGCTGCCTCTTATGTGTGGCACAGAGTGGAGACTAAAAGTGTGACAGGAAAGTAGGGGTCAGAGCTCTTCTCTATACATTTTCCTTCCAGTCAGATGCTTGCTGAGAAATAACCCTGAAACCAGCAGCACAGTAATTTAGGGTTGTCCCTTTACCAGAAAGGCAGTTTTGTTGAACCATAGTTGATTCCTCATAGTTTTTTTTTGTGTACCACTTTCACAGGTGAGGGAGGTAAACATGTGCATGTGGGTTCTGTATCACTTCTGAACTGTGCAATTACATTTGTGAGTCTTATGCATCAGGCTGGAATACAGAATGAGCTCAAAGCTCAATCGAATGTCTGTTATGGATATGAGTCTGCCTGGCGGCATACATCATCTTGTTAAGGAAGCCGGTGTGGCAGGCGTTATGAAGTCGGTTAAGTCGGAGCGAAGAGCTGAGACGCTCTGCTCTTCATGAACGGGACAGATAGAGAAACCAGTGATGAGCTGACTTTTCTGGTCAGTCAGGCTGCCCCGGGACCCCAAAGGAAGTGCTGAGGACAGTCGGCGGAAGTCAACATCCTGGCTGGACCTGCATCCCCTTGTTGTGTTTTTCTTTATTATTCTAAAGCCTGTCAAGGAAGGAAGCCGGCTGCTAACACAGATCTGCCTTATCTTCTCTATCGGCTGTCCTTCTGGATTCAGAGAAATAAAAGGAATGCAGCTTTCAGAGTAATCCTGAAAAAAAACATTAACTTCTCCTTGAGTGTTGGGTTACTTTCATTTAGCTGCTTTTGAGCTAATTTTATAGCACTGGAACCTCAAATTTGAGTTAGCGGTAATATCAATATCAGGGCGATACCAAACCTTTTGTTATTAGTTAATAGGAAGGACACCAGGATCAGGAGGCTACACTGGACAGAAGGGTTATATGAAGATACATTTGTAAGGCAGGGTTTGTTAAAACAGAGACACAAGATCCAATTTTTTTAAAACTGGTGTTTTTTCTTTGTGTGTTTTCTTCAAGGAGGAGGAGAGTAGCCGCTTGGTGCGGACGTACCCAAAGATGACTGAGGGCCAAATGGATGTGGGTACACAGACGGAGCCTGTTGTGGTGCTATCTTTGGCTCAGGCTGCCGTTCTTGGACTCATCTCCCAGAATGAAATCTTCGGGGCGACCATAGCTCCTAATGGCTTCTACACAGGGGAGCCCAGAGAGTGCCCCCCTCCTCCAACGGAGGCAACAGAGTACGAGTACGCCGACCAGCTAATAGGGGCGAACGGAGACTACCTAGCCGAGCCCGCCGGAGAGCCCGAGCCGCAACCCCACTGCAGCGAGAGAAGGCGGCCGGGACCCCGCGGGAGAACCAAGAGGCCCAGGAGCGAAGGAGAATCGGAGGGTCACCCGCACAAAGTACCGAGTCCCCAAGCTCAGGTTAAAGGTGAACGGCTGGAGTCCGACACACCTCCTTCTTGCATTCACACGAACAGCAGGCGAACTCCCGGCAAGTCGGAGGATCCGGTCGCCCAAAAGTCTTGTCTGAAAGAGGAGCAGGCCTGCGGAGGCTGTCCCTCGTGTGAGCGAGATACATCCAGGCCACAAACAGATGGACAGCAGAAACAGGAACTGGAAGTAAACACTGGCAAAGAAAAGGAGAGGAAGGAAGAAGAGCTGGTGGTGGAGGAAGAGGAGGAGGAGGAGGCACTGAACCTCAAGACAAATAACGAGAGTGGAAGTCCCCTGGAGAGCCGTTATTACGAGTCCAATGAGGTGGCCTACGAGTCCCCCTGACATGGCCCTGCCGGGAGAGTACGAGGACAACAACCAGGCCATGCTGTGGTCAGATCCAGAGGGCCTGGCCAGACGAATGCAGATCGACCGGCTGGACATCAACGTACAGATCGACGAGTCGTATTGCGTAGACGTGGGAGAGGGCCTGAAGCGCTGGAAGTGCCGCATGTGTGAAAAGTCCTACACGTCCAAGTACAACCTGGTCACTCATATTCTGGGCCACAATGGAATTAAGCCCCACGAATGTCTACACTGCGGAAAGCTCTTCAAGCAGCCGAGCCACCTCCAGACTCACCTGCTCACCCACCAGGGGACCCGGCCTCACAAGTGCACCGTTTGCGAGAAGGCCTTCACGCAGACCAGCCACCTGAAGAGGCACATGCTGCAGCACTCGGACGTCAAGCCCTACAGCTGCCGTTTCTGCGGCAGGGGGTTCGCCTACCCAAGCGAGCTCAGGACCCACGAGAACAAGCACGAGAACGGCCAGTGCCACGTCTGCACCCAATGCGGCCTTGAGTTCCCGACCTACGCGCACCTGAAGCGCCACTTGACCAGCCACCAGGGCCCCACCACCTACCAGTGCACACAGTGCCACAAGTCCTTCGCATACCGCAGCCAGCTGCAGAACCACCTGATGAAGCACCAGAATGTGCGGCCCTACGTTTGCCCCGAGTGCGGCATGGAGTTCGTCCAGATCCACCACCTCCGACAGCACGCTCTAACTCACAAGGTACTGGCAGCGCGCACCCTCCCACTAAAGGTACCTAACACCAAAGATGTCCCTTTTGTCTAGCAGCTTTTATATGTTGGGAAGCTCGCCTTATGTAACCACACGTTGCTAAACCTTGATTCAAAATAGAAAAATGTCATTATCCAGATGTAAAAAAATAAGGGATTTAGGGATTTACAGGAAGACATTTTACCTTCACTCACTCCAAGAGTCCACTGTATTATTATTCCTCATAAAATGGGGATATATTGCACACTTACATCACAGCCTTTCCACCAAACCAGTTGCTTTGTAAACATAGCCTTCAAAGGCCTTGAATTTTTTTTTGTGTGTGTGGCTCAACCCCCCTCTTGCATGCGCTTTGTGTTGTGTGTCGTTTGCAGAGCTACTTCCCTTTGTGTCTGATGAATCACTCTTGTCTCTCCACTTTCATTTTGTAGTCTGTTTCATACTATAGGAGAGAAACATCTTAGTCATTGGATGTGCCTCCGCCTAATTATTGAAATAAAAGTTAAGGAAATGTTTAGTTATTTTCGCTAGACTTTTTCCACTCTGTCTTTTGACACCATGGGAGGTGATAGAGATAGTGGTGGTGGTGTGGGGGGGGGGGTTGCTAGTGTAATCTAATGAGCTGAAACCAAAGCCGGGGTGCATATGATCCCATCCAAGGTCCCTTGCGTGTCTTCTCCCTGACTCATTACTAATTTTTCCTCTAAACCGTATACTTATGCCAAATGAATTAAAAGGGACCAAATACTTTTCTTGCTCCTTCAGGGTATGAAAGAATTCAAGTGTGACGTCTGCGCCAGAGAGTTCACCCTGTCTGCCAACCTGAAGAGACACATGCTGATCCACGCCAGTGTGAGGCCCTTCCAGTGCCACGTCTGCTTCAAGACCTTTGTCCAGAAGCAGACCCTCAAAACGCACATGATTGTCCACCTCCCCGTCAAGCCTTTTAAATGCAAGGTGAGTGAGGCATGTGGCGCTTCTGTTCAGGACAAAGTCGTCCGAAAAGGGAAGGGGGTTACTGACTTTTTTTGTTGCCTCTTGTCCCTCAAGGTGTGCGGAAAGTCGTTCAACAGAATGTACAACCTCCTCGGTCACATGCATCTCCATGCCGGTAGCAAGCCCTTTAAGTGCCCTTACTGCTCCAGCAAGTTCAACTTGAAGGGCAACCTCAGCCGACACATGAAGGTCAAACACGGCATCATGGACACCTCAACGGAAGGACAAGGTGAAAAGCTCCTCCATCAACTATCCCCATTTAGTCTCTGCTTTTAAGAGGATAACATCCCTTTAAGAAATCTGAATTCACATATGATGCATGTGTGGCAAATTTCCCGTTTGGACTGATTGGTTGGCTTCATGATGCATTATTATCAAGCAGGCTGTTTCTAATGCACTTTGACTCAGCATGTACTATAATACAGTGGCCAAGTGTTTTGGTGTTTCTCTGTCATCCCCCCCCCTTGTGAGTTAGTAAATATAGCAGTGCCTGGATTAGACATGCCTGTCTCTATCAGTAAAGTCTGATACTGAGGCAGTGGAGGAAGGGCAATCTATTGGTTGTCCTCAATGGGTGCCCTGTGTCTGAAGTAAATGTTCTGTATGTTTGTTTTACTGAGAGACAGATTGGATCAAATGTGTTTTCTTTGATTTCTCATTCAGAACCACCACCAGACCCGGAAGGCCAAGAGGACTTCGAAGAGGAGAGCTTTGAGTTCAGCGAGCGAGAGAACCGGGCTAACAACAACAACACTCCAGACATTGCTAAACTCTCTCAAATGGAGTATTACAGCACCTATGGAAAGGGCTCAGGGCGCTTCAACACAGCATGAATCATCAAAAAAAAAAAAAGGACCCTGAACTGAATATAAGTGTGAAATAATGATAAGGGGATTGTTTTTTTTATTTTTGGTCATTGACATGGGACTCGGGGTTTTCTTGAAATGTTAAAGAACCCGGCAAACTGCACATTCATATGCACTGGAATCACTCGTATCGCTACACATTTTTTGGAAATGTTTACTTTTTTTTTTATCATCATCATGTTCTTTTCATCTCTAAAAAACAGAAAATCTACTTATGAAATATATATTATATTCAAAAAAAGTGGACTGTCTTAAACACAAGCATTAAAAGGTAAAACAAATATATATGTAAATGTGTTTATGTTGTCATTTGCTTGACTACAGACACATCATCTGAGCCTAATTTTTAAAGCACGTTTTTTTACTTCAATGCTAAAAAGCATATGGCGATGGATTACTGCACTTATTTATCAGACAATCCCAGTCTCTCTTGATCGTTTGGGTAAATTAATGTCAAAGGTTGAAGAAGGGAACAAGTGTTACTGTTCATCTCACTTGCCAAAGCTTTGATTTATACTGTGATAAATCAAATTTGATGTCTGCAAAAATGAGTTCTGTTCCAATGGATTTACAATCTGTTTTTATTGTATATTATTGTACAGAATGCATCAGTCCTCTTGTATGTCGGCTGGTATTCGAATCAGTGCGTCGCACTGGAGGACCACAGTGTCTACATTTGAAGGTTTCTGCATTAACAAGCAGCATCCCGTATTGATCTCTCGTCCATGAATGTAATCGTTTCAGGGGAATGTTTTTAAAATGCTAATGAAAAGAAAATCAAAATACCCATTTCAGTAGTAGGAGCCCTTCACCAAAGAATCAGATCAAATCTTGCAGAGTAAAGTTGGGACATTGGATTTCTTGGGGTCCAATCGCAGACCTCATGAAATTACATTTAGGTTTCCCTCCCACCCATATAGATCACTTCAAAAGATTACCACAGAGAATAGACTCTAGTACAGCACACCTCTTACAGCAAATCTCACTTTTTTTTTTCTCCCTCCGAGCCAGGCCTTGAGACTCCAGACGAGACTGCAGCATTTCTCAAAAGTGATGCAAACCCTGTTTCCATACTGCAGTTGTTTTTTTTTTTGTGTATGGATGAATCCAAACAAGAAATGTCCCAAAAATCTTGGACAGAAATATTAAGTGCCCCAGTGTGTCTGCAAGAGCATGCCATCCATCATGCTGTACACTGCTCTGAAGTGATGAACGACAACCTCCCAACATGTGACAGGGCCACGGACCTTGTGGAAAATGATTTGGGAAATGCTCAATATATTCAGTTTCCGAGTGCTTAGCTTTTCAAACTCGTAACCTGCAAACAAGGTATCCCATTTGCAATGTTTAAAATAGTGCATTTAAAATAAAAACGCTCAATTTTGTGAGTTTTTTTTAAAAAGCTTCTGTGTTCCATCACTTCCATTGCGTCACTTTTTTTTTTAAGTGATGATACAAAGGGGGATGTGTTCAGTTTAAATGGCTTTCTGTATTAGACATTAGTGTGGAGATAATGTGGATAGAAATGTATGTACAATGTTGTGTACCAAGACAAAACTGTAAGATAATAAATTTATTTACCTTTAAAAATGCATTACGTTTCTTTTAAAAATCAACAATGACAAAAGGTTAAAGGTGATTCAAACAAGGGATTTATTGGCAAACATGTTTGACAAAGACTTCAGTCCTGCCTGAGGCATTACACAGTAATCGAATACAGTACTTCACATTACAAAAATAAAACCTTGCAAATAATGGGTCAGGTAGTTAGGGAGGCATCGGGTGGAAGTACAGCTGTCGACCATTTAATAACCTAATAGAATACGACATATTCTAAACACAGTACTTTGTTAACTTCAGTAATACGTGGGTTTATTGACCTTTTTAAGTTAAAAATGAGGTACAGAAACAGATGAGTGAAATTGCAATCTCCAGGCTAACTACGTTTTCTTTTTCAAGTTCTTCAGTTGCCGAGGGCTTTGTCCAGATTTGTCTTGATGGCGTCGAGGAAGTCTGTGGTATTGACGTAGTGCTCGTTCAGCTTGACACTGAGAAGGCAAGACGAGATGAGAACATTCAATACAATACTTAAGGACAAAAACACCGTTATAACTGTGAGGGTATAACGTTTTATAATGTCGCTGGTTCAAAATAAACAGCTTTGTCATTATCAATATATTATTATTTGGCATTCAGAGTGAGATCCATGCTAATGTGACATTAGGATTATTTCAGAAAATCTATCCTGCTGATCATAGCTGAACATTTCAAGCAATAATCTACAGATGTATGCTTTACCGTATGTCATGGATGAAAAAAAGCTTTGAATGTGTTCATTAGCAGGTGAGCTAATAGCTTAATAGCTCGTCTTGTACATGTACCAGTGATGTGCAGAAACAAGTTAGGGAACAAGACAGCACATACCTCTGCTGGGGTAACCCAACCCCTGAGTTAGGGTTCAATGTTTAAAATAAATCTTTCACCTGTACTTGGATCTAAATGGGAAATCATGCAATTCTCCTTTCAGTTTTCTTGTGTATTTCTTCACGAGAAATCAGCACAATGCAACCTTAATTAATTATTCAGAATACAAGGAAACCTTTGTAGTCCCTTAGATCTACATTTTAACTTGGATGGCAGCCCGCTAAACCACAGAAACCCATTTTGCAGTTTTACTGCTAACAAACAAGAAATCAAAAGGTTATCTTGAGATGTTAAAAAACGAACATCCCACTGGCTGCAGAAGATCATGCCCACTGACACTATCCGCTTGTTTGGGGTCACACTTTCAAGTTGTAGAAGGTCAGAATCGGGATGAATAACTCCCGGTCTATCGTGGTGCTTCAGACTGATAAAGACGGCCTTGTCGTGGGAAACATTTCTTAAAGAATTGAAGGACATCTGACAGCTAAAGAAACTAGTAATTCCTGAGTCAATGGGTGATTGATTAATCTTCAGATTATTTTCTTCAAATTGTTTTTCAATATAGTCGACAGTGATCATAGCTGCAGACCAGCAGAAGTGGCAGGCCAACATGAGTCTGATGCTGGAACTGGGGTTTGTTTGCAAAGGGGGAAAACAAATACTTCAATGTCACTCAGACTTGAAGTTTCCTTGACATTACTGTTGTGCGACGTGTTGAAATGTATGACAAAATGTATTTGATATTTGACTGCGTCTGTATCTGCAATCCTTACATAGGCATGAAGATTTTTCTGTGAAGCATGTGTATATAACCCCAAGCATATAGTGATTACTTGGAGCTTCCTTCAGACTGTATTGACACTCTGAAGCTTTGTTCCTTCTACTTGCAAGAAGAATTAAACTAAACAAAGACATCCTTTCTTTTGCATTGTTAATAGAAATTCCCAGCACAATTGGTCATACACACCTTAGATACAAATGTTATGTCCTTCACTCGTGCCTTTTATTCTACAGATTTACGGTGTGATGTCTCGTGGAGAAGAATCGCTTTTCCTTATTTAACCCTTCAGAAATCTCCCAGAGATGTGATTGTGTTGTCTTGCAGTACCTCCAAGATATTTAAATAGTTATTTTCATAGATGTTGGTAATGACGATGGTTTTTGTTTGATAACGATGACTTATAAGATGGTTTCTATACTGATTAGAGCTCTCAAGAACTGCCCTCAATGTTGTGCTTCGCCTCTGGTCACTTCCTGTCAGCACCTGTGTGTCCAATCAGACTCAAAGCTGATCGTTTGCTCTTACTGACATTGTTCCCTTTTTTCTAGATCCTTGCTTGTGTTGTACTTACTCTCTGATGTACGTCACTTTGGATAAAAGCGTCTGCTAAGTGAATTGTAGAATTGTATAAATAGTTCAGGCCATTATATCTGATTCACTAATGAATTTGCTGCATTCCAGAGAGAGAGAGAACAGAGATCCCCTGTCACACATCTTACATATGGTCATTTGTGACACAGTGGTCAGACATCAACAACTCCTGAACTAAATGTAAGAAGTAACACAGATGTGAGCTTACTTGGGCAGACCGTGGATGCAGCCTGCAAGGTCCTTGGTCATCGTCCCGCTCTCGACAGTCTCGACACACACCCTCTCCAGAGTCTGAGAGAACCTGCAGACGATACAAGATATTTAGGGAAAAGCATCTTGCATTCAAGCGGCATTACATTTTCTTCAAATTCAAAAAAACAACTCTTACTTAATAAGGTCAGGGTTGCCATCAAGTTTGCCACGGTGCTCCAGGCCTCTGGTCCAGGCGAAAATGCTGGCGATGGGGTTGGTGCTAGTCGGCCTTCCCTGAAAATCAAGTCGAGGTTCAATTGAACCCTTTTAAAATATTCTGCAGACAGTGCTTAAATGTTCTAGTGTAATCATTTATGTAGTGCAATCATGTATTCATCATATTTCTCATTCTCAGGGATCACCACATGGTGGCAGTATAACTCAACAGATTACAGTTTGTTTTTGCAAGCTCACAGTGTGGGACATTCTGTTTCATTGCCCACTTGAAATGTTTTCCCAGTACCGAGGAGCCCTGAGATTTATGAAGATGAGTTACTGACTGACCTTTTGGTGTTCGCGATAGTGTCTGGTCACAGTGCCGTGGGCAGCCTCGGCCTCGATTGTCTTTCCATCAGGGCACACCAGAACTGAAGTCATCAGTCCCAGAGAGCCATAACCTAACAAAGGAAAGACAACATGAAACAAAATCTGCAACCCACACATCTGCTAAAAAAAATAAAATAAATTGGCATATGCTTCGAGGTATCAGTATTTCAAAACAAAAAAAGCTATACTGGTGTTGCTTTTTAAATATCCCACCCTGTGCGATGATGTCAGACTGGACATCTCCGTCGTAGTTCTTGCAAGCCCACACAAAGGCTCCAGAAGACTTCAGCACTTGAGCGACCATATCATCAATAAGCCTGTGCTCATACCAGATCTTCAGTTTGTCAAACTCGGGCTTGTAGTGCCTGAAGGAAGAATGAAAAAACACATCAGAAACTACAGCTACTTTTACTTTGGAGAGCGTTTTTATTCCGTACATAAGAATGAAAAAAATATGATCATTTAGTTGAATATTTTCTGGCTTTCTGGGTTGTCAATAAGAAAACAAAGTAAAGTGAAGTGAAGACAACTGAAACACTTCGTACCAAGAGAGAGGACACTCACTTCTGGAAGATATCCTCGAAGATGTCTTTGAATCGGCCGTCATAGGCTTTGAGAATGGTGTTCTTTGTGCTCATGTACAGTGGCCACTTTTTGCCGATAGCATACTGGAAGCAGCTGTGTGCAAAGCCTGTGATAGACTGTGACAGGGAGAGAAAACACACACAGTTCACTTCAGTAGCAACAGAGGTTAACAACCTTCAACTTAACAAGTTGAAAGTCATCTACCGTGACCCTCCGATGTTGTTAAATCAAACAGACCTGTGTTGATGAAAGCAAACAAAACAGTAGATTAGCGGGTTGAGAGGTTAGTCTGCTCTTAAAAAAAAAAAAAAGAAAAAAAACAGAAGACTTCTGTGTTGAATCTGCAAATAGCCTCGGGGAGATTTTTACAGAATTATCTGGTTTTCAGCAAGCATGTAAAAAAAATCTTGTACTTTAATCCCACAGTAATTTGAGCGATAACTGCTTGAAATGACTAAAAATCAGTGAGTCTAAAAGGGTGCTCATCGGTGTGGAAACTGGAAACTACCAGCAAGAATGAAGCCTTTATAACTTGGGATTCATTTTCGTGATCATGAAGTATTTTCAAAGCTATTAAAGCCATGTACAAAAACAGTCCCACACTTCCTTTCAGTACCATGAATATCATTAACAGAGTCTAAATTTATTCCTACCACAAACAAGAAGACTTTGAAATACTTGACAAGACTTGAATCTAATCTAATCTTGCTTTTAGGACACATCCATCCATCAATTCTTTAGTTAAGCACAGATTGAGTCCCATGCAGATTTTTTTTGTTATGCATATAATCGATGTATGTTGTTAAACCAACCATATGTTGATCCCACTAAGGTGTAGTGTCCACGTTGCCATATCCCTATTTATTCTTCATTTGTAGGGTGACATGTGACTTCATTACTAACATGGAAATTTAAGTTAATTCAGAGTTTAATTTCACCTAAACGGTCATGTAGCCATTTTCAACAATTGTACCATATGCTTCTCTTGTTTTTTTTTGGAATTCAAATGTTTTTATTGAACTTTTTAAAGGCATGGTACATGGCATTAACACATTTAGGTTTCAAGGATATAGCAACCCTTAGCTTACACAAAACATGAGTGCAGACTTCAGTACACAGATCCAGTGAACATAAACTACAGCAGCAGGCCAGAGAGGAAAGAAGATAAATACATCAAAATGATTACAAATAATGCTCGTCACAGCAGAGACAATTAAAATCAGGAATACATCTGAATGGTGATCCTATCAGGGATGAGATTGAAAATGATTTGGGCACGTCATCCACCCTTATGTAGCCCCAGAACCTGTCCCAGGGAGACCCCTTATGTTAGGTATCCGCATACTTCTATTGTTGACATTTCCTTAAACCTGATTCTTTTGCAGTAAGAACCAGTTATTCAACCTAAAAC